ATGAATATCAGCTCAAGAAACTCAATGACTTTTAGTATATATAATTCTAAATACATTTTATATTTGTTGCTTTGTTATGTCATTCTTTTTTCAATAACTTATAATCTTATATTGCAAAATAAAAAATATTATACATTATATATAGGTATCCAGGAAAAAAGAATTGCATCTTTCAAGATATAACTCTTTTGACAAATCTGAACAGATCTGCAAATTATTTTTACTAGTCACATCTGAATATACATATATAATTAGATAGATTTTGGTAAACAATTGTTCATATAGTATTAATTAATTCAATTTTATTGCTAAAATAAGTATTATTGATTAATATCTTATTCCACACACTATACACGACAACATTATAATTAAAAAAAAACGTTTTCCTGAATTCAAGAATTAATTTTACTTGGTACTCTCAAGTGATTATCCATTCTAAGTTGTATCACTGCTTGACCTGTATTATATAGGAATTGCTACTTTCATTGCTACTTTTCTCAAACACTAAATGTTAATGCACATAGGTATGACATATCTAATTAATAGATGTTGTATATTATATATATATATATGGTTATATATGAACATATATGATCAAATTTGATCATATATCAGATCTGGACAAATATGAGACATTAAAGATCAAATTACTCCATATATGGTTACATATGAACAAATATACACAAATATGAGATATCATATCTGAGTATATTTAAAAGATATAATTTGATTTAGTCAAATTTAAATTTTTTTCTACATAATTTTTTTATTAGATTTTAATGAAGGTTTAATATTGAAAAAGGAAATGTATTGTTTTCAGTAATGTGTAAGATTCAATAATATGTAAGTTGATATATAATAGTAAGGATCAATTTCATTATAAAGTAACATATTAAAAGAATTTATGCTTAATAGGTGGCAACCAACTCAGGCCGATGTTGTAGTACTTGAAGCACTGGGGAAAGCACCGACAATTTCAAATCCTCATGTACTCCGTTGGTACAACCACATAAAATCATATGATTTGAAGTCACTTCCTGGAGAAAAGAAAGCACCTGCTATCTTCAGCGCTGGCGCTTCGTCCACAGGAAAGACAAATGAAGATGACGATGATCTAGATCTATTTGGTTCAGATGAGGAAGAGGATGCAGAAGCTGCAAAAATCAGGGAAGAAAGGTTAAAGGCGTATGCGGAGAAAAAATCAAAAAAGCCTACAGTTATTGCCAAATCGAGTATTGTGCTGGATGTGAAGAGTTGGGGAGATGAAACCGATATGAAAGAAATGGAAAATGCAGTGAGATCGATTCAAATGGATGGTCTGGTTTGGGGTGCATGTAAGTTATATATTTTATTGTTCTATCGATGTACATATCTAAATCAATATAAGCAAATTGTATAATTGAATTATATTTTTAGCAAAACTTGTCCCAGTAGGTTATGGCATAAACAAGTTACAAATAATGTGTGTGATAGAAGATGAGAAAGTATCAGTGGATTTGCTGATTGAACAGATTCAAGAATTCGAAGAATTTGTTCAATCCGTAGATATTGCTTCGTTCAACAAGATCTAAGGAATAAAACAGCTCATACTTTTAATATTGAATTAATAAATATTAATTGTTTGTATATATATAATTTGTTACTCTCTTAATATACCCAAAGGATTCCTAGTAGTCTTCAAGAGTAATACAATTCTATTGAAGCTTTATTGTATCATATTTATTTTTTAATACCTTTGTACATACACTGTGTGTTATATCTATCTGTTTACAGTGGCGTGCAAAAGTTTCCAGCCAATAACATTTTATATTTTAATTTGTAAAAAAAACCTCGATAAACAAATTTAATTATTAATCGGGTGTTAGTATAAGATGTAGGTAACAAAATATGTATTAACATCTATATAATAATAATAATTTTATTAGGCTCTTTTATAAATTAAGATACAAAGTGTTACAGGCCGGAAACTTTTGCACACTACTGTATATCAGCCTTGTTTCATCCACTCTTGGATATCTTCCAACTCTTTTCCACTCTACATGGTCTTTGAAAGGAAGGAATTTAACATTAAAACGCCACGCTTGCCATTGCGTGTTGGCGAGTGTGCATATATCTACTTATATATGGAATCTACAATATATAACGCCGAATCCGAACGGCTATGGCAAAGATATTCTTTCGGAGGTTTGCTATTGCCTTCTAATAAGTGGCGATCAAATAAAATTTGATGTTCTGGATGGATTTGAACGCTAAATCTGTAATAGGAAGCAGTCACGCTACTGCGCCATGATCTTTACTGTGTATCATATACATATACCATACAAGGTATATGTATATAATATTATCAGACAAATCTTAATTATGTCTAAGATATGCAACGCAAACATGATCATTCGTCTTTTCATTTCTAAGCAAGTCTTATTAGCTTTTTCACTTCATTAGCTTTTACAAAATTGTATATCCATAAATATGTACAGAAATAGATAAAATGTAATTAAATTTATAATTTTAATGTATTAATGTAAAAGTTTTAATACTATAATTACTACTATAAAGAAAAAACAATTTAATAATCACTTTGTGCGAAATAGAAGTCCAATATGTTTTACTATTTAACAGTTAAACAAACTTTTAAAATAATTATTTAAAAATATTAACTTTCTGGTATGTTTTTTATATGTATATACATATAATAATTACCATATTATTATTATCACAGGTTTAAAAATTATAAACTGATATAAGCTATGTTCGTTACTGGCTTCAGCAAAAAAATAAGAAGTATTAAGAAAATAAATTAGAGGTATCGCAGATTAGACAAAACTTGTACAACATATATTATATCATTTTATATGAAAAAGAATTTCAGACATTTTATCTATATGAGTAATATGTGTGTGTGCGACCACATCAATCAATTTGTACTTACAATGAAGAAACGGAATTTCCTCTTTCATTAGTTCGTATTATGCGGGTAAAAATTTTTTACTGTAAAAATTTAAATGAATAATTTCAGGTAATAATAATAATAATATTTCAGTGGTGCAATATATCTACAACGCCGCACCTTGTTATTTCACACACGTCTACTGTCCCTACAAACTTGTTCCCAAGGAAAAGTATCAATTGTAAGACCATCGAAGAGAGGCGCGCTTCGAGGGCATTGACATTGAACTTGGAATCCGGTTGTCGTAGTCTTCACATTTCTTCACGTTGCAAGTTTCAAAATGACGACCACCTGTTACTTGGTATAAGAGATGTTAAAAATTGCAAAAAGGTGCAGAATTAAATTTTAAAATTTGTCCTTTTCTATTAAAATATTAAAATGCTATAAGACGTTGTAAAACTAGATCTTAACATTGTTCTTCTTGTCTTCTTCTTTTTATTAACATTTTTTTATTATTATATACACGCTGCAAGATACGTTAGTATATTTCACTACAGGACGCAGGATTTTTTTGTTTTTAATATCTTTCGAATTTTGCAAGTTTTGAATATAGGAAAATGAAAAATATTATATGTAAGAACCATATGATGCTATAAGATTGTAAAAGTATACTAAATTACATTTTACTATAACTATTAATTTATGGAGTAAAATTATATAGTATTTTTTTTAACGTTAAAGTTCTTACATGATTAATCTTTCTTCTCTCCATGTTGAAGAAAAAAAAAGAAAGGAGATGAACTAAAACGTTCAGTTAAAAAAACATCTATACATACATATATCAAAAATTAACTGTTATACAATATAAGTATATAATAGATATATTATAGTATAATTTATATATTTTAACATTGAAGATGACCCAAGCGAGGTCGAAATGTCTGTTCATCAATTAATTGTTTATATAATGTTCGATGTATTTATTATATTCTTATTGTTTTAAATATATATATTTTTGACTCGTAGCCTTTATATTGTATCTAATTATTATAGTATATATATACAGAAGAATATAAATATATTTTTCGTAAACTTCAATTAAGATGTTATAAGTCAATTGTGATATCTAAATAAGATTTAATTAGATTTCGCTCATTTTTTTGCAATAAAAAGTATAAAGAAAAAACGGTCTAAATCGAGCGTTTAAAATAAGATTTTTTTAATAAAATTCTAGTTTGCAATGTTATAATACAACATAAAAATAAAATATATAAAATACCAAAAAATATAAAATAGATATGAAAAATAATATTAAATATTTCGAAACTCACAGGTTCTTCAGCGATTCTTATAGATGTAACAATGTCATAGTATGAAAGCATATAATCTTACTATCTAAGTGACATGGTGTGGTACAATTTATTCAAAGAAATTGATTCTCCTGTTTTTGTGTGAATATGGAAATTGTGTAATAAAATGTATGAAAACAGGAACATCTTATTACCCGATTTATAAGTGTTATAAATGATATATTTACATATAAATAAGATTTATATGTAAATATCATATTCGTTACTTTTAATAATTCTGAAAATTTTGTAATAAATAATAAAATAAATAGATAAAAATTTATTTTTTTCTCTCTCAGCTATTTGATATAAAAATTAATGTAAGACATCTGTGAAATATTTTCTATAATTTATAAGAACGATATAAGATGCTTAAAATATTCTTTTCTTTTTACTGTTTATATAACTCATATATTTTAAATGATTTTTTCAAGTTTTCATATAAACGTGCTATCATTTAAAAAAAAAAATTTACTTAACACGAATTGAAATAATTTGTAACATAAATATAAAAAACACATTATCCTATTGCTAATTTTCGGTTACATTTCCAAATCCTGTGTGACTGTGTTCGGAATTTAATTTCTCTTTTTCTTCTGACGCATACACCGATAAAATTCTCGTCCTTCAGCCACGAACAGTTCTTCCTTTCCCCGCTCTTCCTGTGTCATCGTATCCTCACCGCTTGTCCTTGCCTTCATCACGCGTTGCTATCGCCATATATAAGAAAGCGATGATCGGGAAGCGTTCGAAAGCGAAGATCACCTCGATCAGCACGTACAGTACACTAATAGACGTTACTTCTCACGGATCAGCAGTAAAACATCTCCGAGATGTTCGCTAGAGTCTCGTGGGTTGCTGTGACAATAATCGCGCTATTTTGCGTTTATACCTCACATGGTGAGTCATCATGTTTTTCTTTATTTTATTCTAGAAAATCGATTTATAGCACGCTACTTTCCTTTAAATGACAATTGTAATTTATTATTTGTACTATGTAGTAACGACACCTTTTATCTCCTTATGTGGAGCATAGGACGTCTATAGACCTCTTTTGTCCGAGGCCTATATTCGTTTCTCGAATCAGATAGTTTTTCTGATTTGTGGGTGATTAGTCCACAGAATATCATTTGTACTATGTAGTAAGTAAATATTTAGAAATTTTGTAAGAAAGTGTACACGCGTTATAAAATAATATTTGCTTGAAAATTTGAGAAATTGAAAATAAAAAAAAATGTTGATTTATGATTTATTAAAAATCGAGATAGAATATTTTATACATAAATTTTTATCCATAAATTTTGACCATCCTACATGGAATTTGAAGGGGTATTATTTATATCATTGAAAATGGCTCAAAGAGTAGCCGAAACGTTTGAATTTTGATTAAATTTATAATTATATTGTAATAAAGAATTTTAAACTCGCACTAACTACCGCAGTTTTTGACTCTCATTAGCCTGTTTGTTTATTGTTATTGATTTTATACATATATAATAAAATAGAATATTTTTTATCGAAAAATAATTAATTTTTATATCTGAAACAATTTTAAGTGATTTTAAAACGTTATAAGTCAATCTAGTTGATATTAAATATCTTAATTATTATGATTTTACTATAAGACGACCTTAAAATAAGAACAGATTATACCGGCCTTTGAGTATATATACATATATGAATATACAATATTATTTCATTCCTGATTTTTTTTTACAAAATTTATTAAAATTAAATTAAAATTTAAGTTAATGAAGAAGAAAAGGGCTGCGAGCCAAAAAAGTCCATTAACGTTTCGACCTCTATTAGGTCATTGTCAAATGCCAAAATTACGTCTAATAAAAGCAAAAGTAAAATTAAACGTAAAGTTAAAATATAAGCATCCAATAATTTTGTGTATTTTAAAAAGTTTTTATAATTACGAATTTGGAAATACACGTTTTGAAACACTTAATAATAAAAAAAATAATGGCTTAATTTCAAATATTAAAATTTATTTTACAAATTGACTGCTCATTTTCTATATTTTTTTAAAATTTTTATATTTATTTTTACATAAAGTGTTATAAATATTTAAGCGATATTTTATTAAACTTATGTTTCGTTATAAAGACAATAAACTTTTTTAATTAATTTGAAAAACAAAGATAGATCCGGCTACCGCTCATAGTTCCAGTAATTCTTATCAGCCGCCATGTATTATTAATAGCAGTCAGCATCTCGCGGAATTTTTTAAAAACATTTCTATATCCATGACCGCATCCCTGACGTATTGCACTGTTATATGCGCGATACGTCAATCAATCTCAAGAGAGTTTCCTATCTCTACAGGAAAGATTGATCTTTTCCTTTTACATTATTATAATAATATTAGAAATAACATTTATAATTTAAAATCTTATATGAAAGGAATAATATCTAATGAATAAGATAATATATACAATTTCTAATATGTATCTGTGTGTGTGTGTGTTATATACATGTAAAGAATTAAAAATTATATTTAATATACTCTTTTTCCCTTTTTTTTCAATCTTTAATCGTATCCCATAGTAAGAAATAATAATGAAATCGATATCGAATTAATATCTATTCGACGTCGATAATTCTATTGTCATTTCTCACTGGGATTGTGTATATTTTTTAACAATTACTGTGTAAAATTGAATTACGTACTATAATTACACATATCGTACCATTATAAATCCATTACAGTCTCCTATATAGCTTCATGTCATTTGATATATGTACTATATAGAAGTAATGTAAATTTGCAATCGATTTGGACGTTATAGTTAGTATTTTTAATGTTTTAACCTCATCATTCTTGATGATTAAGATAACAAAATCCAAATATAGAAAACATGTTTGATTACTTGTAAATGTCATTTGTATCTGCATTTCCTTTCTTCATATTCATATATTATTTTATTGTTTTCTTACATTATTGCAATAGCATCGCGATAATCAATTTTATTTGGGTTTCAATTATTACCGTAACAAATTTAGACAATATGAAATATCAATAATAATAATAATTAAAATTATAGAACAATGAAAAATGTATACTAAATGTAAATAATTAAAAATGGAATTGACATATACATATATTTAAAAAATTACTAATACATGTATTTTAAAAGAAATCTAAAAAAATACTAATTATGATAATTATATATCAATGAGCAGAATACTTTTATTTATCAACTAAATAAAATTTAATTGCAGACTTTGTGTATAAGAATAAATACGATTGTGTGCACAGAGAATGATTATTTTTCTTTTCCTCTTTTAAGTTTTCTTAAACACTCTCCAATTTATAATTCTTTACATATAGTTTATCATAAAAGATTGCTCTGTTGGGGTATTCGAAACTAGGTTCGATTCTTGCTATGATCATTTTTAGTCCTAAGTAAACTAACAATAAGTGAAAAGAAGAAATAATCGTTTCACACGCAATATCCACGCTATACACTCATAAGCTGTTGACCTTGAATTAAATTATACAGTTTTATTAAAACTATCGATTATAACAATGAAAAACCTAGCGGTATTGATTATAATATTCGTCGAGTAGCGATAGATTAAAAGATATAAAAAGGCCCTGACTTCATTAAACAAGCCGCTTCAGGCCGCTCCCAATCAGTCGGAGTTACAAGATGATCCATCTGTAATCTGGCTCAGAAAACGCAAATCGTTAGCTGGACCAAGTTCTGCATGAATTCATCGTCATTAACCATCCATATAGTATAATATAATTCCCCTTATCAAGGATAATAGACATTATATCCTTGACATGCATTACTATGCTGAAGTTTATTATATGAAGTTCATTATACAACACGTATTCTGTCATATTTATACGTATATTTCAAATCAAGTGTACAGAATGTATGAAATATATTTGATCATATATACATGTTGTAAATGTTAAATACAGATACAATTGTAATAATATAACCCGTATTATGGCGTATATTAAAGTATGGAATATTATCTGCAAGTGAACAGATTTTTGCGAATACAATATCAAATTCATTCAATAATACTGATGGAGAGACACTTTACGTTCTAAACCAATCACGTTCAACCTGCGGTTTAGCCTGTGAAAATCATGTTTTCTATGTTATATACAAACGAAATAAATATTATGAAACCCCGATCTTTTTGAAAATAATCCCCTGAAAATAATTAAAAGAAACTAGTAAATATGATAATCATTAAAATATGATAATCATTAAAATTAAAAAAGGTTGAAAATCATTGGACGGTTTAGTTTAAATAATTTGCTGACTTTAAATAATCCGTTATTTTGTAGTTATAACAAAGAAAAGACAATAAAGAAACGAATAAAAAGAAACTCGAATCACAAATGAAAGAAAAGGTTACACTATAGTTGCCATGGTCATCTTTGAACGAGTTGTAGTTTAAATTTATGAGCCTCGCGCGATTTAAGTTATATTTTTAACCATGACGCTGCAAAACAACCGCGCCCATGCGTATGATACATAAGCGTGTACAATGCGAGATATATGCATAGAATATACATAAGTGATATCAGATACCGAAAATGCCAATTCCATTATATATTGTATGGATCGATGTATCAAACAACTTTATATTTTTATTTGTAATGTCATAAGTGTTCTAAATAATCAATGAAAAATCGATAAGAACAGGCTGTAACGGTCAAGCTATAGATGGACTGGATGCTTCTATACAATTATGTGTGAATACTACGTATAAAAAACAAGCAACAATATAAAAGATGACAATATATCAAATTATTCCATAAATTTAAAAACAGAGAAACGTTTCGACTTTTACATAAGTCCTTTTCAATCTCATTAATATAATATATACATTAATATAAATTGTAACATTAAACCGAAATAATATGGTAAATCAATCAAATTATTGTCCATCAAGTCAGAAGTAAAAAGTAAGAAAATTGTTTCGCAAGCCGACTCAAGAAATTTATCTGCATCGTAATTCTAAATAAAACATCGATGCCTATTAAGAAATAAATTGAATAATTTAAATCAAAACTGAAAATATATATTAAAATTAATATTCCATTGCCAGAGATCCGGGTTCGACTGCCGGCCGAGATAATATTTTTCGCAATAAAGAATTAATTATTTACAGATTTTAATATGTCATTCAACATTATTAAGATTGATTCAATATTATTAAGATTGATTTAAAGATGCGCAAAGAGCATCAAAAATTGTTAGTATTAAATTAGTCAATTTAACTCGTGATTTTACTACGTTATAGTTTAGTATAGTGTTGCGTTTTAAGTCTGAAAAATTTGACGCGCAATTAAAAATCTACAAATCAACAAAATTTACACGCAATTTATATAGAAGTACCCGAGATCCAGCTTGACCTTTACATGTTCTCATTGGTTTTCATTGGTTTAAATTGTCACGGCCCAATAATAAGATTTGATACTGTTCTAAATAATGTTTTAAATGTTAATGCACGTTCACTCTTCTTATACATAGATTCGCGTAACATAAAAATTATTTAAAAAATCTGCAAGATAGAAAAAATTAATTTTTTCATGATCATTTTTATCGTTATTATTGTTATTATTATTGTTTAGATTATTAAGATGTATAATTATATATATATTATAAAATAAACAGTTATTTATATTTCATAATACATTCTAAAATAATTTATATACTAAAATGGCTGTATATGAACTTATCGCGCGCGCGACTTTTTAATAAATTACTTTGTTTATAATAAAATAATTAAAATGTTATAAAGGTAACTTTTTATAATATGATTACTAATGTTTAATTTCTATTTTTCGTTACAGCTCAAATTGTATCGCAGGTCTGTTTAGGCTGCATATGCGAAGTTAGTTCAGGATGTAATACCACTATCGGATGTAGTGAAGCTGTATGTGGACCCTTTGCCATAACATGGGGTTACTGGTCTGATGCTGGTAAACCAACTCTAAACAGCGAACCACTTAGTGACAGTGGTGGGTTATATTCTCTTATATAAATACACTGGTCAACAAAATTAACGCAACACCTCTGTTTCATTCTGTAAAAATAGGCAAATTTCAAGATAGAATAACTTAGTCAAAAATCGTCATATCGAGATGTTAAAAAAAAACATTTTATAGCTTGAAACCTCTACTTTTCAGATCGCTACTTTAAAAAACGGTCTCACGGAGATTTTATGAAGTTACACAAATATAAATGAAGATATATCAGATCTCAAAATTTTTTACGAAATTTTGCGGAGTTCCACGGGGCGAACTAAAAATTGTACGCAAATGCGATTTACCAATTTAAAGTCGTATACCAATTATAATATTGAGTACTAATTAATATTGAGTACAATAATTCTGTAATAATAACATACTATATATATAATATATAACAATGATTTCTTTTTTATTTCAGCTTATGCCAGATGCGTTAACGATCCTTACTGTGCTGCTGCTGCAGTACAGAACTATATGACCAAATTCGGTCACGTAAGTAATTTGATTTTTATATGAAGATTTCGGTTTATATACATTTTTGCCATAACATTCATATATCTAATCTATGTTAATAAAATAGGACTGTACTGGAAATGGAGTGATCGACTGTGAAGATTATTTGCGTATTCATCGACTTGGCGCAAATGGCTGCACTGGTACGCTTAATAGCAAATTTGAGAATAGATTCAAATTGTGTTTACGAACCTTCCAAAATCAATAATATACGTATATGATGTTATCATAATAATCGTTCATTAATTAATTATTATAATATAAATACATCCGCAATATTTATCCATCTTATATCTTTATTAAAAATTTTATGCACTTAGTTCATATCCTTATTAGCAAATAAGATATCTCCGTTTACGTTCTTTTTTATACTATTTAATTTATACATTTTATATATTATAAAATTCGAAGAAAATAAAAAGAACACTGATGAGTCAAGTTAGTTAGTCGTGTTAATATAATTCAAATTTCATAAGTGGATAATAAAATACATTTCGACCATAAATATAATCATCTTCAGTGAATAGATAAAACTTAAAAATAACAAATAAACATAAAAAAAAGAAAAACCTTGTATTCAAGATATACACATGCAAGTATTATACTGATACTTATTTTAATAAAAAAAAATGTGTCTATGTCTCTTAAACGCTTTAGGCCCAGCACCAATTTTGCACCAACACTTTTTGATTTTAAGCGACACTTAAAACTCTATCTATCTCGTTTTAAAGCCGAAAGGGAGACAGAGACAGAAACAGTTTAAGTTTCGTTTAAAATCGAAATCACGTTGGTGCAATCAGGCTTTAATCTATCACATTATGTAACGTGTATTACTTTTAATTTACCTAAATGTTTATGCTGCATGATTGTGTATGGTTAACACATAATAATATATATTATACATAACAATATGTCTTATTTACGCTATAAAAGCAGCGTAAAAAAAAATTTACAATAAAAGCTTTAAAAATTTAACAATAAAGTTTACTTCTGGACTCTTGAAATTCCAAAAATTCAGTTGTCAAAGGGCACATGAGAGTACGGCGTAGTTGTTATTACGCAAATCCAATAAAATCACAATTAATACCAAAAATGAACGACTTGAATTGGATTTTGTTTTTGTATCTTGTGAGGTATGTTTTACTTTAGATTGTCTTCAATTTTGTAATGATAAATGACTTAAATTATATTTTTAGAATTGGAACATCTCATCAAGCAATGTGATGTGACATACCTGACAAGGATTAACTATTATGTTGAATTGATGATTCAATTAATAATTGTATTAGCTGAGGAAGGTTCGAAATGAACCGAAACGTTCGAAATTTTGAATAAATTGATATTGAGGAAATCGATCAATTTTTATTGGATTTGCGTAACAACAACTACGCCGTACTCTCATTTGCCCTTTGACAACTAAATTTTTTAAAATTTAATACTTAGGATTTTTATTGATTCCGTCTTTTCATTATAAAATTTTCCTAAAACTTTACAAAATTTGAGTTTTTTCAAACTATTTATTCTCTTATTTCTTCAACAAAGTAACAAATATGTCACGAATAGAAAGAATCATTGTTCTAAAGTCTTCATTTCTTTCTTTATCTTTAATTTAACTTAATTCTATAAGCAAATTCACAGTTTCTTCATTTTATATAGACTTTTATACGTAAGAGCTTAATAGATTTATTTGTTAGGCTTACACTAGTATTTGTAAATAATAATTTGTTATTTAAATGCTACTCGATTGTTGTATAATAATATACAATTAATGTGCATTTATCAAACGAAGAAACATATATATATATATATATATATATATACATACGTTAAAAAAAGACAAAATTATCTTAATATGTAAATATTTCATGTTAGCACAAGGATGACAATTACATTATGTCAATTTACTTTAACATATTAAAGTTTAATCAATTTAATCATGTATTAAATAATACATATAAGCTATATAAAGTAAAGAGAAATGCACGTTTGGCAAATATTACTATCTATCAAAAAGAGAGCAAATATCTATTAAACTATTGAATGTCTATGAAATGAAGAAATTGAATTTAATGTATAATAGAATTCTTAGAATCTATTTTTCTGATATTCTAGGTCTGCAATGACTTGATGATATAATATATCGTTTAAAATGTAGTCTTTATATAACTATCAAGTATATGTAAGCTCAAATATATCATAATTATTTATATTGGATTTTAGCGATGACATGATTGTATTTTACGAAATTAATAAATATAATAATATTTTTATAAAATACTTCTTAGATAATTTTATAAGTTATTGTATTAAAATAGTTGTTGGATAAAACATATCTTTTTGTTTTTCTTAAAACTTTACATATCAGAAAGCTGTTTGAAGTTTTGAGAAAAAATCAACTTTTTTTCAACACATTTAATATTTAATAGGAATTGATAAAGGTATAAAGGATAGTAAGTATTACATATTAAAAATAATTCTAGATTATTTAAAACTTATTTGTAAAAAAGATATTATTAAGAAAATATTGTTAAATATATGTTAATATATGTTTAATAATTTCTTAATAAGTAATTATTCTAAGCTTTACATCAGATATATAATTGCAAGTATTGAATGGCTATAATAAACATTCATAAATAAATTTTTTTTTTAATCTGCAATTCTAAATATATGAATACATATTTAAAATTTTGAATGAATATAATTTGTAGCTCAATTAGAAATTTTTTATCTAGGCACACTGGATTGAATCTATTTAAAAAATTTTACAAATTTTTGATCTTTTCTTTCTTTTAATGTTTAAAAATGGAATAAAATGGAAATCTAATCGATTTTTTTTTGTTATAATTTCCTGTGATTTCATATCTTTACTGCTTTTTTATTATTCCGTTATTATCGCTGTATATGTATATATAAAAATAAGAAATGTAATAAAAAAACAATCATCGCAGAAACAACTCGAAAGAGCGGATTATCTACTATCAGTTGACTAACATTGACTATCATGTTTACACGACTTAACTTACGTCGAAGTTTTATAACATCGATGTTATGAAACTGACAAATCACAGTCATTCCATTCTTCAAAGAAACAATTATTATTGGATAGTTTTATAACATCGATATATAACTTCGGCGTATATCGAGCCGTGTAAACTTAGTCATAGTTCGTTAAAAAACGTTGCTCTTTGCGGATCAGCAGCAGTAGCAGCAGGATATTTTCAAGATGTTCCCGAGAATCTCATGGATTGCCATGGCAATACTCGTGTTATTTTGCGTTTATATCAACGGTGAGATATTAATGTTTCATTTTTTTTATAAAAAATAACAATTACAACACGTCTTTTTCTTCGACTGTGTATAAAAATTATAATTAAAAAATGGTACTATATTTAATGACTACAAATTTGATAAAAATTTACATGTTATACATCTAGAACAATAATTACATAAAAATAGAAGAAATTAACAATTTAAAAAACTTTTCAAAACTTTAAAAATTGAACTATAGATAATATGGTACAATTTCAAACTTACAGTATTCATTACATAATGTCATAATATACTTACCATGTTCAAAATATATCATAGTTATCCTATTACAAATATAGCATAATTGCTTTGCATAATTTCTGTTTGAATCTTTTCATATAATATGTATAAATATAAACCATATTTCAGTAATATAATAATATTGTTATTAAACTTACGCATAAATAAGCAACATTTTTTATCATATTCTAGTATTGCTGTTTCCAGAATTAAGTGCGTATTATCGTAGCTTATATTTAATAATATTTTCTAAAAATATTCATGATTTTATGTAATTCTATATAACTATATTTCTGGTAATACCTTGGTAAAAAATATTATAATACTTTTTAATTTTAAGAATTTTCCATATTTTAAATTTATGAAAATTTCTAAGAAAATTATCTTAAAAGTTTTCAGATTTTATAAGTATTTTCGAACATCACAGAATAAAAAATCTTAGAAATTTTAAAATATTTTCACATTTACGAATAAATTCTAAAGAAAATGTAGACTTTCTCAATACATACTTTTAAAAAATCACGGCATGTTCTCATCGATTTTCATTGGTTTAAATTCTCACGGTCTTATAAGATTTGTTATACATTTAAAAAACGTTTGAATTTATATAAAAAATCCGAAAAAATTTTTAAAAAGTTATAGTACTATATCTTATGGAGATTTTGAAAAAGTCTGAGATAAAAATATTCTAAAAAATTATACATTAAAAAAAAAGAAGAATTTTTGGAAAAGTTTTTATTAGAGAACTTATACTGCAGTTACACTAATCTTAATATACATATTAATAATTTCCGAATTTTTTGTTATATTACAGCTCAACTCATGTCGTTACTCTGCTTAGGCTGTTTATGCGAAGTTAGTACAGGATGTAATATCAATATTGGTTGTAACAACATGGTGTGTGGACCATTTTCGATAACAAAGTACTACTGGGAGGATGTTGGCAAACCACCTCCAATGGGTAACTCGAGCAATGATGACGACGGTTTGTTATTTTATACAAAATACTTTAAATATTTATTCCTAACTAATCATGAGTATAACTTTTACATAACATAGATATAATGATATATATTTTTTCTTTAGCGTTTCGCAATTGCGTTAATGATTTGTACTGTGCCGGTTATACGGTACAAGCCTATATGGCGAAACACAGTAAGGTAAAATCGATATTAAAATTTTGACGTACATATTACACATGTTACATGAGTCTTTGCGTAACTCTAATATGTTAACGTCAATTAAAGGACTGTAATGGAGATGGAGTAATCGACTGTGATGATTACGTACGTCTTCATCGACTTGGCTCAGCCGGCTGCAATAACTCGCTAAGCAGTGATTACGAGAATAAATACAAATTGTGTTTGCAAACCTTCGAACGCAAATAATAGATATATTTTTTATGTTGCATTTTAATAATAATAAGTCATATCGTAATATACATATATGTGTATCATATTATATTATATTATGATACACATAATGTAAAAAGTAGATATGTAAAAAAGGTTTAAATAAGAACAAAACTTATTTTTTTATGTAAATACAAACAAGATTTAGTGTTTGTACTAAATTGTTTCTAGTGTCATTGTTGCAATGATCGAAAAAATGGTACTGAGTACCGTCATGGATTGTAGAGATCACATAAGGAAAGAAGATGTTATATACATATATACATATATTTTATATTTAATATATATATCTTTATACGAAAAATGTATACACAGAGCTTTAAATAGTTTTATATATCTCATATAATTTTTATATTAAAAGCTGCAAAAGTTTAATATTTGTAATTTTACACTATGAAAAAATGCTATTGATTCAATTAAAATCTATATCACGGGCTGTCACTAACATAAGTAATTAATTCATGTATATTTTTATTGACAAAGGCTTTGATTATTGTTTTAATAATCAACGTCTTCGGTATCAATAAAAATATACATGAATTAATTACTTATGTCAGTGTGACAGCCCGTGATATAGATTTTAATTAAATCAACAGCATTTTTTCTCAGTGTAAGAAAGAGCAAAAAACAAAATTATATTTTTAACTTTAATTTTAAAACCTTTCTATCAAAATTTGTACAGAACTACTACATTAGAGAGAAAAATATAAAATAACATTCTATTAATGAAACGTATATATTTTTAAGCTTCGAAAATGTAACTTTAATATGAGCTTTTGAAATTAAAAACAATATCTAATAAAGAAACAAAAACAAGGCAGCCATTTCAAATAATTTTTCCTTTTCCCACGCATCCTGAATCATATCGTATCTATGTATATTGCTTCTCCTCACGCGGCTATACTATCGCTGTAAAAATGCAATCATCATCGATCAGGAAGTGCGGATTATCTCACACAACAATAACGTTATTTTTCACGGATCAGCAGCATATCAACATCTCCAAGATGTTTGCGAGAATCTCGTGGATTGCTGCAATAAAATTGTGCTGCTTTCCGTATATACTTTTGGTAAGCTATTTGGATTTTTTAATAAAAAATGTAGAAAAGTTGTATATAACAGGGGAATTTTTTTTTCAAATATATGAAAATTATGTAATTATAAATATATCATGCGATATATAAGTCTACATCTAGTCTAAAAACACAAAGTAAGAAAAAGTTATTTATTACAAAAACTATAATAATTAAAAGATATAAGAAGATGCAGGAAGGCATTATATAAATGTTATTACGAAAATTTGTTTATAACACTTTTGGCTCAAAGAATGCTTATAATCGGTTATTTGAATCAAGTTTGGCATATTAGTTTCCTGCCGTTGTAAATAAAGGATTTATAAAAGATTTACCTTCGCACAATAATTTGATAAAGTTTGCTCATAATAAAATAGTCTTTGTATTTCAAATGTGTGTGTGTGTGTGTGTGTGTGTGTGTGTGTGTGCGCGCGTGCGCGCATGTGTGTATGTATGTGTAGGTAACGTAGTTATACAATATTAAAATCTAAAAATTAGCAATGTACGAACATATACCAGTTATTGCGAGGAATATTACATGTACCAGTTATTGCGAGGAGGCTAAGGCCTCGGTAGTCTAATTAGAGGACACTTGCGCGTAAAGCAAGCGGGTTCGACTCCCGACCGAAGTAATATTTTTCACAATAAGAAGAATTATTTTCAGATTTATTATTTTCAGATTTTAATATAATTTAACATCGATATAAAATGCCAAAAAGAGCATCAATTAATTATTAAACTGTTAATCAATTTAATTTGTGATATAGTACTATCGGTATATAGTTTACTCTAGAAGCGGAGATATAATTTAATTCTTAAAATATATATTCACAAAATTGGCAGATTTCAAAGTGATTCCCTAATATTATTGTGCGTAGTGTATTTTGACAAAATATGAAAAATAAACATAATTATTACAAATATTTATGATGCTTCTTACGTTTGTGGAAAATATTTCAACAAATATTATTTGTCCTCAAAGAAGATGTAAAAGTAGGAAATTTATGTTTTTTGTGCAAATGGTGTATAAAATACACATGTAAGGGTGATTTAATATATGACAATTTATAATTTTTATTTATTTTTATGATATTGTTTATACATATGAATATAAATTATACATCGCGCGTGCATGCACATGAATACATATGTGTTCCATCTCACAGCATATATGTATACATTTATACATGTAATAATCGTATGTGCACGGACATGGTAAGTTTTGTAACGTCATAGTTAAAAATACAACTCAAACTAACTTATTGTGAAACTAAACCACTCGTTTATGGAGAGAACTATATATTGGGTGCTATGGCAAAATTTTTTTTTATTTGATTCATTGGGATAATATTTATTTATATATTATTTTTATTTTTTATTTGAATATAATAAAAATTATCTAAAATTATTCAAATTCTGCTAAAGCGGAATTTCCTTAGTATCATTAAATGAATATTGTATTTCGAGAATTGTTTTTTATTTGGAATATTAACATATTTCATTTTAAAATATCGTGTTTTACTCTTGGAAATATTTAAACAGTTAAAATACAATATGTGCAGTTATTTCGGATAACACAAAAATCAAAATACAAAACATTTTAAAAACATTTTTGCAGTTTTAATCTAAAAAATATTTTAAAATACGTCTAAATTTCAAAAACATCTTGTGACCCGATTTTTAGACTTTATATTATATTGTCTGGGATATTTTTATATGTTTATGTAATTTTAATATTAACAATATACTCAAAAATTTGATCTGTGTTACTGGTTACTATAACTACATTATAAACTAATACGAATACGAAGTCTATAATAGTCTAGCTTGGATCTTATTGTTAGTTACTTATATATATAATTTCGCGTGAATTTATATGTATGTGTAATCTTTCCAAACTGCGTAATTTATGGAAGACAGACAAAACATTTAAATGATAAAACAATTTTAGTTAATAAAAAATGTTGTGAGGCGATATGAAATGTTCTGGATACTTCACGTGAATGATGAAGGATTAATATAATAATTATTATATCTCTGTTATTGATCGTTACAGCTCAAAGAATATCGCAACAATGCATACGCTGCATATGTGAAGCTGCTTCAGAATGTAATATCTCTATAGGCTGTGACGGACCGGTATGTGGACCTTTTTATATAACAAAACAATATTGGATTGATGCTGGCAAACCAAATCTAAATGGCGGGCAAAGCGATAATAATGATGAAGGTGGAGAGTTGCTATTTTCATATAAAAAAATATTAAACATTACATATTTATTCAAAATAAATTTCATTTTCTATTTTTTAATACGTATAGCCGCATTTGTATATATGTATGTATATATTACACGCATAGTCGCATCATATTTAAAAAAAAAAGGAACACGATAAAATAACAATTAAATCAATCACGTGTTATAAAAGCGGAATTTCCTTAGTATCATTAAATGAATATTGTATTTCGAGAATTGTTTTTTATTTGGAATATTAACATATTTCATTTTAAAATATCGTGTTTTACTCTTGGAAATATTTAAACAGTTAAAATACAATATGTGCAGTTATTTCGGATAACACAAAAATCAAAATACAAAACATTTTAAAAACATTTTTGCAGTTTTAATCTAAAAAATATTTTAAAATACGTCTAAATTTCAAAAACATCTTGTGACCCGATTTTTAGACTTTATATTATATTGTCTGGGATATTTTTATATGTTTATGTAATTTTAATATTAACAATATACTCAAAAATTTGATCTGTGTTACTGGTTACTATAACTACATTATAAACTAATACGAATACGAAGTCTATAATAGTCTAGCTTGGATCTTATTGTTAGTTACTTATATATATAATTTCGCGTGAATTTATATGTATGTGTAATCTTTCCAAACTGCGTAATTTATGGAAGACAGACAAAACATTTAAATGATAAAACAATTTTAGTTAATAAAAAATGTTGTGAGGCGATATGAAATGTTCTGGATACTTCACGTGAATGATGAAGGATTAATATAATAATTATTATATCTCTGTTATTGATCGTTACAGCTCAAAGAATATCGCAACAATGCATACGCTGCATATGTGAAGCTGCTTCAGAATGTAATATCTCTATAGGCTGTGACGGACCGGTATGTGGACCTTTTTATATAACAAAACAATATTGGATTGATGCTGGCAAACCAAATCTAAATGGCGGGCAAAGCGATAATAATGATGAAGGTGGAGAGTTGCTATTTTCATATAAAAAAATATTAAACATTACATATTTATTCAAAATAAATTTCATTTTCTATTTTTTAATACGTATAGCCGCATTTGTATATATGTATGTATATATTACACGCATAGTCGCATCATATTTAAAAAAAAAAGGAACACGATAAAATAACAATTAAATCAATCACGTGTTATAGTGACTATTAAATCAATATAATATCAATAGAATTTTATAGTTTATATACTATCTAGTTAATATATACTATAAGTTTATATACTATAGTTTATATAATATATAATATTATATTTATATACTAATATAACAAATATAAGTTTTATAAGTGATAACGTTAATTTTATAATTAATGTAATATAAAAAGGTTAATAATTTTATAATTTTTTTAGCTTATAAAAGCTGTGCAAAAGATGCGTATTGCGCTGCTCGTACGGTAGAAAACTATATGGCCAAATTCAGTCGGGTAAAATCGTATTTAGAATTCAACTTACACATGTATTTTACTGATGTAATGTCTAATGTACATTAATTAAATAGGATTGCACTGGAAATGGAGTAATCGACTGTGACGATTATGTACATCTTCATCGGTTTGGTGCAAGCGACTGCACTAATACTTTACATAATGTTTACGAGAATATATATAAATTGTGTATAGAAATCATGACAAAATATTAAAATAATAAAAATTATGGGAGAATGTTAAAATAAATAATACGTATATTGTGTGTATACATATTATACGTAATGTGTACACATATTATATGTACATACAATATATTCGTAAGAAGCGTTGTAATTGTTTATCAAATATTTGAGATACAGTCATTTAATTCTTATTAGCAACGTAAAGGTGCAACATTTCTAATTTTGCCCATAAAGTTTCATCTAGTAAAACTTTACTAGCTGGTATTTCATAATAAATATTTTAATTGCCTCATTGACAATTGAAGGAAAGTTCCTTTTTTCCATTATAGCAAATATTAAAAAAAAATGTTTATATGTTTGAAACATTATTAGATAGCATTCTTGTGCTATTATTTAATTAAATAATACAGTAAAGTTACAGCATTATATTATAGAATCTGTATATCTATAGATGCAATCTTCATAATTCTAATACTTTATTAGATAACATACAGGGACATAACAATTTTACACGCAAAGATATTTTTTATAATAAGAAATGTATCTTGAAATTATAACATTTATCAACTTCAATTTTTAAGTTAAAATTCTGATTACATAATTTTTATAATTATATAAATTTTAAAATTATAAATAAATATAGCTATTATCTACTTTGCTATTTCACAGTAGAAAAACAAGAAAACAAATTAGAGATATAACTCGAGACAAAAGTTGCACAGACGTTCGTACGATGATGTAATGAGAATTTACACGTCATAAAGTAAGTTACGAATATATCTCGATTAAGAAACTGTCATTAGTTGTCAAACGTATATGTTTGTTTAAGTATGAATGTAAAAGAAAAAGTGAAATTATTTTCATTTACTACAAAAATTTAAATAATTGACTTTGTCTAATCATTATTCTAGAGTATTATAAAATTTTTTCTTTTTTACTTTATAATTAAGTTACACTTTTTATTTATATTGATGATATTATTTGTGCTTCTTGTAATCTTTTTACTTTGATGAAACATTTTTTTTCAAAATATTACATCAGTATGTTATTGTATAAATAACAATAAATGTATAATGGCGTGCAAAAGTTTCCAGCCAGTAACATTTTGTACTTTAATTGATAAAAAAAGAGCCTGATAAAATTATTATTATAATAGTACAAGATTTCGTTATCCACATCACTAACACCCGATAATAATTAAAATTTTATCAGATTTCTTTTCTTATAAACTAAAATACAAAATGTTATTGGTCGGAAACTTTTGCATGCCACTGTATATTATTTACATTATTGTAAAAGTCATCATATTCAATGAATAAATATTATGATCTAAATATTTCAAAATAGTTTTATGAACTTTTACTTATTCTAGAAGATATAGATAGAAAATTAGCTATGATATTTTTATATTATATATGCATTAAGTTAAATCATAAAATAAAAAAAACTTTAATAATGTTAAGTATATTTGTATATTATACAATAAATGTTTCAAAAGAGTATAAATGAATTTTTTTAAATTTACATTATATACCTAGAATTTTATATACAATATAAAAATATTATAAAAATTAAAATATAAGTTTTGACTCTCGTGTACTTAAAAGTTTATTTATCAATTTTTTAAAATTTACATTATATACCTAGAATTTTACATACAATATAAAAATATTAAAAATATACATGTTCTACGTAAATAGTTATTATGTTTGTTAAAATATAAGTTTTGACTCTCGTGTACTTAAAAGTTTATTTATCAATTCTGCCCGTTTCTTTAATAGTTCACTATGTTCTTGCAAGTTTTCAGCAGCACATATATTTTTTACAAGAAAATGATTTATAAATAATCTAAGACTTTCCCTAAAAGTTTGCAACTTTGGGGATAAAGATATCTTTCCAAATACTTCTAAACAGGCCTCCTCATTCTCGTGTAATAATATTCCCAGCATGATTTGTCGTACAAGCCTCATGGTTAACTTGTCTAATTCCGTAAATTGAATCACCTATATTTATTATATGCAATAAAAAAATTAAATATAATATATGTAGTAATAAACATCATATAAGCAAAAAATAATTTAAAAAGTTAATATTTAGATACCTTTAAAATGGAAAGCGGAAGACCTTTGCCTAAGAATAAAAGAGTCAAGAATTTTGCTAGATTTGTTAACTGTTTTGTATTCAAATCATCCAACGTCTTCAACTTATCCCACAATGCATATTGTATAGTTAACTATAATAATTAATCATTGTTAATCAGAACATAGGTAAAAAATATACTATTACGCTTGGAAATCTTTATGCAAATTGTCTATTCATAAAGTACTTTATTATAGCACCCTACTAATAAAAAAACAATAATTGTAATAGCATCAACATAATATAATATCAATTTTACTGATTATAAAATAATACAATAAAGTAATAATTGCAATACACATCTACAGAGAAATACTTTCTAACAGATCTTTCTATTTTTTAAATCCTAGAGTGCTAATAGAGAAATTAATTTTTTTTATGTTATGAATTGATTTCCAACGTATTAATTTCTTATTTAACTGATTCTAAGTTAATCATTTAAAGAATAATTTTTATTACAGCATATATTAAAGACGCAACAATGCTTTATATATAGAATTATATTTATTACCTGATATTTTCTGTCAGAATCACATAGTCTTTGTGCTAATACAGTATAATAAGGATTGAACTTCTTCTCTTGAATACAACAATTGAGAATAACATGAATGATTTCTCTCTGTTGTTGGTTTTTCAAACCAAGATGATGAATTTTTTCAAATGCATCTAAATAATCTTCTGCTGTCATAAGAATGCAAAAGATATCTCTTCTGACATCAGTATTCATTCTCTGTTTTCGTGCCAACTCCAATATGTCCTCACTATATTTTTGTTTTTTATCTTCTGAATTTTTTTCTAATTTACCAATATCCTTAAGACCGGACCAGGCTGAACCTACTATCCACCATTTTCCTCTTTCATCAGCTAAAAAATCAATTAAAAATATGTAATTTTATGTTTTAAGATTGTGTTACTTTTTTCGATTGTATTATAAATATTGAATTTTACATACCTTCTAATAAATCTTCTAAAGTTACATTAAATTGCGTAACAATATTGCCCTTATGGATAAAATTCTTTAGTATTTTCTTCAAATGTTCTATCCGAGATGGATCATATTGAGGTATTTTACTCATGTTATTATTTTTTATTGCCAATAGTATATCTAACATAAATTTGACTCTTGAACTACAAAGATATCAGTATACATAATATACATAAATAAAAATAATATAAAAAGTATTTTAAGAAATACATATATATACAGAGAGTAATTAAAAAGAATTTAGAATAAAATAGTGCGACTATTCAGTATAAATATACAGTACTTAAATTAAACATGTAAAGACTTACTTTTCCAGAGCAGTATTATTTGCTTTTTGTTGTAAATTTAATACAAGTTCCTTCAAAGCAATTGGATCATCTTTCCTTAACTGAAAACCTACTGTCCTTAAAATTAACAAAATCAATTCGATTTCTTTTTCCGTAAATTTTGTTGCTAGTTTCTCTAATATTTGATACAAAAGGCGATGACCATATACCTAGAAAATAGAATCATAAATATATTCTGCAGTAATGCAAAAATATCATTAATAATATTTTACCTTGAAGTTATAGAGATGTGAAATTATAAGAATTATATTATCTAATTCTTTATTCTCAACATAATGAGATTCTTCCAACATATGATGAAGTTTTTTTACAATAGTTAATAAAAAATGTGCTCCAACTTCTGTACCAACATTTGCATGTAATATAGCGATTAACATCATGTGTTCACAGATAAGTCGGTCTGGAGTCAATATTGGTGCAACTATACTTTCCATTATTAGTGTAGATAACATTACATTCATATCATTACGACTGTTTGACATATACATTTCTTCTACCTACATTAAAAATATATTCAAATAATAAATGTTTAACAGCTACAAAAAAATTCTTTTCAATAAAGATATTTAATTTATAGATATAAATTTATATTATTTATTATTTTTATTTACAGGATGTTGCAAAAAAATCGACAAATTTCTAGAAAGTATTCTGCACACTAGATTTTAAATAAAAAAATGTATATACTTAATGACATATAATATATTCTAGAAATTTTTCTAGAAGTTTGTCAGTTTTCTTGCAAAACACCCTGTATATATGATTAAATAGCACATATGGTACATGTTAATCTGGAGACACAGTAGTGTCTCGGTGTTAAGACATGGCGCGAGACACTGCCATGTAATTAATTACCTGATTTGCAATGGTATGCATATTTTGTTCTGCCAATCTATTTAAAACACCTTTTATTTGTTTCTTTAATCTACTAATTTTTCCATTATCGCAAGCAATATTATTACTTTCAATTCGTACAGCAGGTGGTACATATTTTTTTATTACAATATTGCCTTTTTTATCTCTTTGTCTTCCATAAATATCTTCCCATAAGTTTTCATTATCATCTGGTTGTTCTGATGTGTCACTGTGAGTGGATTCTTTACTTACTATCTCTTCCTTCTCATTTGCTGTATACTTTTTAGATTTAATGTTTATTGTGTTTGTTTTTTCTAAAGAAATATCTCCACTATTATCTTGAATTAAACTTTCATTAGACAAAAGACTTTCATTTTCTGAATCTTGTTCAGAATCTTCATCATCATCTATGCTATCTTCCTCATCATGTTTTTCATTCTCATCCTCAGTATCATCCTCACCAATAGCCATGTTCAGGTCCTCTTCAAATTCTTTACTCAATCCTGTTTCTAACAGTTGCTTTTCAGTTTCAACTATGTGACTCCTATTTTCTGAATCACAGAAATCCAAAAGATCTAATTACAAGTTAAGGAACTATAAATGATTTATAATCAAACAAGTGTAATACATAAATCCGAAATGTTGCATAAATTAATAATATAAAATCACAATGAAAATATTGTATATTAATGAAATATATTAATAAAATATATTATTAATAATAAATTGTAGTTTACTTCATCAGTTTAATAATAAATTCATTAATAATAATTAACATTAAATTTATTATCACATTTTATGCAAACACAAAAGAAAAAAATTACGTAGAGTATACAATTGTCCTTATTTAATTTTCTATAGAATTATAATTGACTTTTACAGTATATTGTTTTATATAGTATATGCAATATATAATCTCTTATTTATACACTAAATCCATCTTCTATTTAATCCTATTACTTACACATGCACATGTTCTAGTATCCTATCTAACAATAAGTCTAACATTTTGTTTTTATTATCCATTATCTACAATTAAAAATATTTATTTCTGTAATAAAAAGTTAAATATACTTTACGCTCTCTCCCTTTCTTTATGTTTCTTTACTTTTTTTCCCCCCTCTTTTTTTCCTCTAAATCTTATTCTTTGTTCTTTTCAACTTCATACAGAATAAAAGAAAAAACATTAATTTTATGAAAACATTCTAGTAACAAATAGATTATTAAAAGGATACAGTCTAATCCATCTGAAACGAAAGACTTTGGAACAGATTTGCTCTTTTGTTTATTTAACTTCAGTTGCTTTCCCAATTGTTTAATCACCCTATCCTCATCCAGATTGGCCTGTTTTAATTGTATGATCCTTTGTTTTTTCGCAATTTTTTGCATTTTTTCTACCTTCATATCTTTAAGCTTTTGTCGTTTCTGCGTTGGTGGTGCTCGTTCAACATTATTTTTCTCTTTTATTTTCAACGATTTATCACTATTAATCCTTGATATTTCCAAAGTTTGTTCCGACTGATTTTTCGATTTTTTCTTTTGATAATACATTGCTCTATTTGTTTTTTTTTGTTGTCTCTTTTCTTTACGCAATTGCTTGCGTGTTTTCTGTATTGATTTAGATTTCTTGATATTGTTCTTAGTATTTAATACCTTTTTATGCTGAATACGCCCCATTCCGTGAAGAAGTATTTTTAGCTAATGCAAATATAACGAAGTATATATTATAACGTTTATATAATATATTACCAAAAAAAAATACAAATGTAACACGAAACAACATGAAAATTATACATTCATAACCTCAAATTCCATTACACTCCAGACTCCACAATCCACGGGTCACGTCACATATATAACCATGGTATAAAGACAAGGGTATGCTCACGCGCATGATAGTTCCAGACAACCAATCAGAAATGTCACTCAGTCTACGTCACATTAAGCGGCAAATTCAAAATGCATTTGCTTAGTACTTCTACATACAGTATTGAATTACGGTATTTTCTAATAAGATTGACTTTAAAAACGTGATTTCTCGCCGCTAAATTCAAATAATTTATTCTAATCGTATCACAAATAATTTCAAAAAATAAAAAAGAAATCATCTTCCATTATATAAATTGTGAAATAATTCATATAAAGGAAGGTGATTTTACACTTTTAGTAACAATTAATACTTTTCTTGAAAAGCAATTCACATTATTTATCAAGAGACACGGTAGTGTCTCGCGCCAAGTGAACGCGAAGCGCGAGACCGCACGTGTATCTTTACGTGAGTCGATGAGTTCCGTGTACCCGAGATTATCGGATCTCACAATAAATGGCTGAATTTATCAACTTTTATATATCCGTAATTTAGTTTTAGTGTTTAAATTATATTATAAATATGTTTTTATTGTCTACGTACCCTACGAAGGAAGATACCTCGATGTGAAGTTGAAATGTCAAAAATTTTAACATCGGAAATGTTGTCCGTTTCACGTTTTAAACACAGACGGCGTTTTGTTGAAAAAATGTTGTCCGTTTCACGTTTTAAACGGCAGACGGCGCTTGCTAGCATATTTTATTTTATATCGATTAGCTGTCAACGTAATGACATTAGATAGATAAAAATCAGCGATGGCAAAGGAGGATTTTTGTATCCTGTTATAAAGCAGTCAATGTCTTGAAAGTTCACGGAAAAAGTGTTGGAGGCTATGCTTTGAACTGTACTGTCGCCTCTCAAGTAATGCCGAAGAGGATAATGGATGCGAAAATCATGCTAAAGCTACAGGTGTGCAGTTTCTAATTTCGCTAATCAACATAGAAGGAGAGGAGAGTTATGATGCTAGTTTTATATAAATTCTCACGGAATTATAATTAGTACCTAAGATACAGTTCGATCGTTAAAGGCATTTTATTGGTTGTGTTTCTCACGGTCTTATAAGATTTAATATTTAAATATTGTTTC